TGACCACCACTGGCTTTGATCTTGCGCCACACAGAGACACCATCAACAATATACGTGTTCCTGCGCTCAGATGGAATGGTGCGGTCGTCAAGCACAGCAATTGTGACCGCAATGGCCACAATGGAGCACACCACAGGGAGGACGTCCATTGAAAATTGAACATTCAATTCATGAAGAAAATACCGATTTTTATCCAGTAAAACTGTCAGAACTCAGAAGTCCTCCTCGAGGTCGTCTGGAGCGACTTTTGCAAAAACCGATGAAAACGATTTTGATTGGCTGCCTATTCAAAAGTCACTGACGCAAAATTCGCTCCGAAAAGCCCCTTAGCCGGGTGTGACTGCGACACACAAGTCGAGGTTGCGGACAACCCAACTTGGCGGCGCCGGTCTGCATGCCGTGATGTTGACAGTGGGCCACACGCATCTAAGTTGGACGCTGAAGGGTCGAAATGCTGTGGCGTCGCACTGACCGAGACTGTTAAGCACCTCTAGCCAATGACTTCGACCCATCATTACTGTTGTGAGAAGTCGAACCTATAATTCGACGACACCACTAGCTTCATCGTCCCCTTCCTCATGATCACTGGTGTCGTACAGCGTTCGCGCAAAGTCAACGCACACGTCGGCGTCGTCGCAGGACAAAGACACATGTCGGGCGCGTAGGGAGACTGGGCATGGTGTAGTTGAATCGGTCGCTGTCGTTGTGTGGGCTGTCGATGACAGCACGTGGCCATGTCGATGGTCGAGGAGGCCCAGGGTAATGCAAACACCGAGGAGAACCCACGCGAGGCCGAAAAAGAGGTGCATGTCGGCGGTGTAGTCGCCCGTGCAGTCGCGCAAGTATCCGACGAGGACATTGCTCAAGGTCGACCCGATCGCGTCGATCACTTCGACAATGCCAAAGGCACGACCAAAACACGATTTCGAGATCGTAAGCGGTACGCATGCCATGAGGACGGCCGGAGTCGACGCCAGGCAAAACGAAATCAAAAGCAGCGAGATGACGGGGGGAGTCGTCGTGAACAGGAGCAGCCCATACGCGAGCACACCGAGGATCGCTGACGTCACAATGACATGGATGCGGCCGTCGAGGCAGTCGATCCACAGCCCCACGACCGGCGACAAGAGAACGAGTACGTGAGAGATGCTGCTGACAAACCCAGACGACACGACCGAGTACCCATGCACTTGGTACAAGTAACTACTCGAGATATTTTGGAAGAGATGGAACACGTTAATGAACACGACATGAACGATGACGAGGACCCAGAACTACCCATGCCAATCGTCGTCACGCCAACCACGTCATCGGCAACATTGTAGTCGTACCATGAGGGGAAAGCCTTTCAACGGGGCGAGGGTCGACACACCGATCCCGATTGAGGTGCGGCGGTGGTGCGCGGGCCGCACTTGCAAGTACTTGCTGAGCCAAGCAAGTTTGTCAGGTTCTTCCACGGGGGGGAGGCCAGGGCTCGCCTGGGCCAACGCGCTCAAGTTCGTCAACGTGTGAATGTATTGCGTCGCCAGTACGGCGGCCGCACCCGACAGCATACACATGACGGATCCGTACAAGAGGCCGTAGATGTACCCACCAAAGTAGATGGCGATGGGGGCGACGGTCGCCTTGGCCAGCATCTTGGACACACTCGTCGTCGCAACCAAGACGCCCATCGAAAACGTCAGCTCGGACGTGTCGAACCAGTGCGACACCATCGCCCTCGCGCCGACTACCACGCTTCCTTCGCCAATGCCAAACACGACCCGACCGACAAGGGCGAGCCAAAACGTGTGCGTCGCCAGGCCATACGTGACGACCCCGTGACCGGCAAACATGACCAGGAGAAAGTAGACAGCGCTTAAGTGGCCTTGCACGTCGAGCATGTGGCCGCCGAGGAACGGAATCACCATGCTGGGGGCGCTCACGGCCGAATTGAGCGCGCCGAACATGGTGTTTGTGATGGGGAACGTCGCGTCGTCCAGCATGAGCTGCTGGATGCTCGTCATTTGGTTCTACGTTGGCAGCGGCGTTGGCCAACGATGGCGTTGCTCGTTCGTACCTTGACAAAGTGGCCGCTGAATGGAATGAGCGATAGCAAAACGAGGAGAAAGTAGCGAAATGACGGCGACCCGACCTGCCAAAATTCCCACGACCTCGCCAACGCCACGGGAAGCGGTGCCGCCGACGCCAGCAACCGCGTCGACTCGGACGTCCGCATCCACAGAGCTCCGATCGCGGCGGTTCGGCGGTGCTTGGAACCACCGTCGAAACTAAACGCACATGTAACTGTTGCAGCATGGAATAATGCCTGCAGTGGAATACGAGCACCCAGTCCAGGGCTGGCCACATAGGCAAGTCCGCGTGCACGATCTATCTTGTACGCCTAACACGGGATGGTTGAGAGCCCGACTGGCGAAAAGTGGCTGGAAGGGTCTGCTGAATGCAAAGGGGAGGTGCACTCCTGCACGAGACAGAGGGTCACATGGCCATTTTCGACCTCCCTTCCATCCGCAGACGCAGCTCCAAACGGCAACATTGGCAGCGCAGTGCCATCCACCAAACTCGATGGGTGTTGTAATGCCTTGGCCCATCAACCTGCATGGAGTTGAGCCCGTATTCAAGCGGGATGTAAACAGTAGAGTGTTGTGCATGCACAGCACAGCTGTAAGACATATTGTACATTATAAATATATGCGCGACGATGACACAACTGGAATCGTGTCGATGGAATCGCTGTCGGATGTACTGATGGGCGACACGATGCCAGGGGGGGTGTTGGGGGCGACGAGGGGGATGTTGACGGTGGCGGACGAAAGATTGCCGCCATAGAGGTTGTCAACCCATGCCAGCACGATACTCAGCACCAGCCCCAGGGACGTCAAGCCCAGCAACAAGTACATGACGGCATCGTACGAGCCCGACGTGTCGCGGAGGTAGCCGAGACCGACATTGCCGAGGAACGCGCCGACGCCGTCGATCACTTCGACGAGGCCAAACGCGAGCCCAAACCGACCCTTGTCGATCGAGAGCGGGATGCTCGCCATGAGGATGGTCGGGGTCGCCGCCAAGCACAACGAGAAGAGCAGCATCGAAACCAACGGTGGACACGACGTGAACACGAGCAGCGCGTACGATACGACGCCGAGCAAGCACGACACAACCACAACAATCATGCGGCCGCCGACGTAGTCGATGAAGAGCCCGACAAATGGCGCGACGAGCACAAACGTGTGCGACAGCGAGCTCACATACCCCGCGTCGACAACAGAATATCTGTGGACTTGATGGAAGTAGCTGCTTGAGATGTTTTGAAACAAGTGAAACGCGTTGATGAATACGACGTGCAGCACGACGACGAGCCAAAACACAATCGAAAAGTCTCTCGGTGAGGATGGCACGGGCTGCAACGCCGCCATGGGGTCGTACTTGCGTGACTTGGAGCGATCCCGGTGGTGGTTTCCACCACTCGTGCAAAACGCCGTGAGCCAGCTGAGCTTGGGATGAATCAGGGCGGACATGTCCCCGCCACCAGCCCGCTGCGCGCGAATCGACCGCCGAAGCGCGCGCAGCGACCGCGACAACTTGACCACGACAAGCGCAAGCATGGAAGACACCACGCACACGACAAAGCCATACCAGAGACCAAACACGTAGCTGCCAAAGTACAGCGACAACGGAGCCACCGTCGCCTTGGCCAGCATCTTGGACACGTTGGTTGTAGCAATCATGATGCCCATTGCAAATGTGAGTTCGGATCGATCAAACCAGTACGACAGAATGGCGCGGGAGCCGGCAACAACGCTCCCTTCACCAAGCCCAAAGACGACGCGCCCAGCCAGGGCAAGCCAGTAGATGCGTGCACCCATCGCATACGTGAAAATGGCTTGGCCAATGCACATGAGCAAGAGGAAGTACAGGACGCTTTTGTGGCCTTGGTTGTCAAGAAGGCGGCCGCCGAGGAACGGGATGATCATGTTCGGGATCGATACGGCCGAGTTCAACGCGCCGTACATGGTGTTCGAGATGGGAAAGGCCGCGTCGCCTAGCAAAAACGGCTCCAGCGAGCTCATTTCGTTCTACATCCACAATCAAGGATCAGCCTTCCATGTGGCGGCCATCATCTACGGCGGCATCACGGACCTTGACAAAATGGCCACCAAACGGGATGAAGCAGATCAAGACAAGGAGGAAGAAGCGATGGCCTGGGGCTGCATAATGCCAGACGCGCCACGGCGATATTGGCTGCACGCATTTCAACCGACAAAGGAGCGGCGACGATTCCACGGCCGTGGATGGCATTCCCGTAGCAACTTGTAAACTGGCGGTGGCGGCACCGACGAGCGACCTCGCCGCATAAAAAGTTGTGCCGAGATGTTACATGCGGTTTTTGCGTGGCTGTGCCCAATCACATCGACGTCCCAATCGGAACACCAATCAAACCTAGACCATTGTCGAACCAGAACTGGGCCGCCAACCTCTTCTGTATATCGATCAAAAAGGCCCTCGCGCTGATTCGACAGACGTCGTCTGCCTTGAGGTGCTGGCGAAAGCAATGGCGCATGCCGGAGAGCTCACAGGGGCTGGCAGGGCTAGCATAGAATTGTGAGTTCAAGGGTTGCATAGCTTTCGTGTGATTTCATTGGATAAAATACAAGAAATATAGCCAATCGTGGTTGGAGGAACTTCCGTGGAAGTTTGATCAAGTCAGGACCAGCGTCGGGGAAGGTTTCGCGGCATCGGCGCAACGGCCGCCGCCACCATGTATACGTCCAAGATCGACACAACCCTCGAGTTCCCATTCGATCCCCTACGTGAATACCACAAGGATAGTTCGGTGATTCCGTGGCGCGAATACCCGTTCAAACAAGTGTGTGTCGTTCTTGCGCCCATTCCCTTCAGCTGTCCATTGTAGAAAACGATCGACAGTGTGGTGCAAAAAGTCCCTGGGAGCACGGTGCTCCAAGCGGCAGGAGCATTGCTCATGGGCCACGGAGTCGAATCCAAAGCCGTGTCCATGTTCAACTTATGCTTGTCTTCCGACCATTGGGTCGACTTCGAACGCCGGTTCCACGACGAAAGGGACGCGTTTGCGGTCGCCAAGACCGCGTAAGTACATCACGTCCATGGCGGCAGACCCTTCACGGAGCGGAGCCTTGTAGGTACATTCACGATAGCTCGTCGCACCTGCGGGCGCGATTCAAAGCGGACGCGGCACGGGCTGCCCTTGACGCTGAGGTGCAGGCAGTGGCGGCAAAACATGCAACGATGAAAGTACTTCGCTACGACAACGGTGAGAGCCGTCACAGGACGGCCCCATGTGACGTTATGCCACGTTAGGCGACAAGTATGAAGGCCAAGTGTGCGATCGCGACAGAGTTTGGATTCCACATGGAGAGGTCGGCGACCCTCCCTCTCATAATCGAACCTGAGCTCAAAGCCGCCGTGGGTAGGGAACGCTGTACGTTTGCGATGTATCGCAGCAAGACCCGCTGCTGCCCCCCGTGCTCCTTGTGCGGTACCGAGGTCGGGCGATGCAGTTGTCGCATGCCACCCAACGTCATGATGAGCGCAGGCATGTGGATGAATGGATGGATGCACGGCCATGGGCGCTACCATTGGGACGACGGCAGCTCGTGGGACGGTCCCTTCCTTCGAAATGAAATGCACGGGCGCGGCCTGTACCGCAGCGAGCCGGAAGCCGAGCCCGACGAGACTGACCTCGACTGGACTCCCACACCAACGCTCGTGCGGTACTACTACGGTGGCTCGCATATTTGCTGGGGCAGCGGTACGGACTCGCGGCTAATTGGAGTGGTGAAAATGGCTGGTGCTTGCTCTAGAACTACAGACTCACTCGCGCATCCGCATCTTCACGCACGTCGGAGCAACTACGTCGGGACGCCAAACCAACGTGGCCGTTCTGGACCTTCCATACGTGGACGGGTGTGTCGCCGACTACGACGCAACAACGGACCGACACCTCATCCAGGTCCACGAGCGACCAGATCGATGGATGTGTTTGTCTGGCATGCATTTCAAACTACTCTCGGCGGCGCCATTAGGACCATTCATTCGTTAACATGATCAAAGGTGGCAATCTGCAAAGCCCCCCGAGCGCCTATGTGCTTGATGGGGTCGGTGGGGCAGGGATGGACACGGCACCCGCCTTGGTGACAGCGTCCTTGGAGCAGCGCTCACGTACACTTCCGACGATTCGAATTCACTTGGCAGCGGTGTGACGGGACCGAACGTCGCAAGAACGTGTGCTAAATAGAGGTTTAGTGTTCTGGTTTTACTGCAGCCTTCTCTCGTAGGTCGCCACCACGACCCCCTCCGGCAAGGAACGCCGACGCGAGGCTAGCGGACGGATCGGCCTTTTGCATTTGTCTCCACGCTTGCATGGACGCGTGCTCAAACCGGCGGTACGCGTTTCGATACGCCGACAAGATCGAGTCGGTAAACCGACCCACTTGAAACGACGTGTCTTCGTCCACGAGCGCGTCCTCCGCTGTCGTCAATGCGTCAGTCGGCGTGCTGGCCCCAAGGACACCCGACGCGTTGACATGAGTCGGCGACACAGTGGCATGTGTCAACGGCGTCGAGATCTCGGTGAAGAACGTGACGATAGTGCCATCCGTATGCTGCTCAACCATGGCCCTACCACAGCCTGCCGTCAAAGAAGTTTATGCACATCAGCACGATACCAGCCGCTACCGTGAAACGTGAGGGCTGTAGCATCAAGCGGGACCAAGGCGTCTTCAATGATATTCCGCCACACGACAATGTGCCGTGTGTCCTCCATGAATCGCTTGATGAGAAGCCTCGATTCCGCGTAAAGGTCCTTGTCGGCACTGTCGCTGTGGTGGTTGCCAATTCGCCATCGGCTCTTCATGTACACGACGTCGTCGCCGACAGAGGCGAGACGCTCGAAAGAAGAACCGGATGCAGCATGGGTGACGTCGCCAATATCTCCATTGAGAAAACTCCACAGGGCATAGCCCAAGATGTGGTGAGGAACGTGCGGAAACATGAGACGGTTGAAACTCTCGATGACGATGCCAGGCACGACCCCATCGTCGAGGTACTTTACAGTCGTGGACTTGACTGTCTGAGCTGCTGGAGACGATCTGTCCGCAGACTCGCTTTGCAGGATACTGTGCAGAACTTTGTTGTACTCACGATCAGCAATTGCGTGAATTGCAGTGTGCCGGGCCTCAACGTCTGCCACGAGTTTAAAATCGCGCAACGCGTTGCTGGCCGTAGACGGGAGGTCGAGCACTCGGGGTTTCTTGCGCACGATGCCCGCCAGCGTTTCGGCAAACGCGAGTTCTTCTTGCAAAGCTGCGCGGAGCCGCGCGTTCTCCATGAACGCAAGTTGGGTTTGCATCTGCTGCTCGGCGGCAAGGTCCTTCCACTCGGATCCCGATTGCAGTTGGTTTGCCTGCATGTTCCCAAGAAAGTCCATTTGCTTTTGTAGCGCGTCTACTGTGTCTCGGAGGTACTCGAGCTCGAGCTTTTGGCGGTTGACGTACTTCCGCTTTTTGCCAAGACCTCCTGAAGTCGTCGACGACGACGACCCATCGTCCAAGCTCTCTTCACTCAATACGTTTTCAAGGCCCGCCGCGTCCCCCATAGATCCAAGCACGAGATCGTTGAAGTCGAAGACGGTCTTCTCGTCGTGCATAAAGGCAGAGTCCATGACGAGAGAACTGTTGTCGTGGGAAGCGGTCACAAGCGGTCGCGGGTGGCGGCTGTACACAGTTGTGAACAAGATTTGCGCGGAAAATTGTGCGGGAGACGTTGCGACTGGCTTTCACGTCCCTGATTGGCTGTTCGTTCTATTTTTGCTCTTTTTGCAAAATGCTTGCGAAGTTTTTACGCAAGTAAGGAATTCGAGGAAATTGTGGACCATAGGACATCGTGGCGCATGATTCTCGTCGGCATTCTCTGGTGCACACTCTGGTGCCGATGGAGACATCGCCCATGCACACGTGAGCTTGCTGGTCGTAAGAAGCTCTCGTAGCATCTTTGGCGATGAGTTGCTGCGTAGGACATTCGAGTTGCACATTACGTCCATGACTAGGCAAAAGGCAGAGAAGGATTTTTGTTGACGTTGAGAGATGGGGGGTTGCACGTGAGATTGTCCAGGGCACAGGTGCCACATCGGACAGCCATCTCAAGTCGACACGCACTAGTGGTTTAAGGCACGCCAGCCGATGTTCAGAATGAACATGCTTGCGAAATGGAGTGTTGCCGCGCTCGTCGTTGCATGCCACAACTCGTTTTCGCGTTACGAGTGTTGATGTATATCTAGAGTCGACAGAGTCGACAGGACGGACTCAAGGGAGTGTACGAATTTCATCCCATCGAAATAGCCCAGGTCACACAAATCCAAATCAAAATCAAAAATACGGGAATATTCGACTCGATCACCTCAAATTTCGAATTGGTTCTGAAAGTGGTGGTATCAAGCCCAAGGTATGCTTGTGATGAATTATATCTCAAAGAACAAACAAAATATGAAAAAATAATGTGGGCCAAAAACAGTCAATATTTCGGGCGCTCAGTTGATTCGAGGGTGTGACGGTAAGAGGTCCGACGTGTGCATGGTGGGCATGTTGGCTTTGTCAGGGGTGAGTTAAAGCTACACGGACCGAGGTCGGTTGTGTGGGCAGCAAAGATGGTTGAAGTCGTCTTCTCAACTTGGGTAAGGAGGGGGTGGTATTGTGACCTGCGCGATGTCTCCTGGTACCGACCGACCTTCACGAAATGATATACCGTATTTGTCGTACTCCTGCACCATGAAAAATGTAGGATTTAAGATCAGGTTCTTGGTGCAAGACAACGACAAAACCAATTCTGGGATGTCATGGGTGGCACTCTTAGATTGGATCGAAATACAACTAAAGTTTGAAATCCAAACTTCCCGCTCAGTCATTGTTTGGTAACGTCGTGCGAGCTTGTGGAAGCCTCGCGCTAACCGCAAAAGACGGCACCCCACAGTCACGAAAAAACTCGACGTGGTGAAACAGCACCTTCGCGACAGCACCAGCGTCTACATGCTCGCTAAGTAGTACGGCGTGCAAGGCAACCAAGTACTCCGCTGGGTCCGCGATCACGAGAAGCTGAAGGCTGCCGTGGCGCGGTCGCCCGGCCTCTGTTTCACACATACTGGCCGTGCAGTTGCCCGCTCTGACGTGGGTGCTCACTGTACACGACTTCAACTTTAAATAGCAGGACATCATTCACCTGCACAACATCACCACATATATCGTGGGAGGTGCATGAGCGCGCGTCACTGCCAGAGGACAGACCAACAACGTCGACAGCTCGTGGCTCCATGAACCCGGAAAAAGCCGGCATGGTTCCATACTGAAAATGCTTGGAGGCCGAATAAAAATCAATCTATTTATATTCCATGAGTTAGTCCAACTTGATTGGCTATAACTCGAAGCATTTCAGTCAGTCAATCACAGTGATTCTTGCATATGCACTACAATTGGTCTAAAAGAATGACAATTATACTTCCTCTGTTCGAGTTTACTGGCAACATTTGAAAATCACACTTTTACCACTTTACTGGCAACTTTTCAATTTGATTGGCTCAAAAATGAAATCCATGCATGTTATTGGTTAAAAACGACGGCACGCTCAGAGCAAAAGTGACGAAGGGCAGGACACGTTGGCCACTGGGGTCCCGGCTCGGCGCAAGGCATCCTTGCGAAGATGAGGAAGTCGGAACTGATTGCCACCTTTGTTCTCCA